AGCCAGAGTGAGTCGACCCGCTTGGTTATGTTATTGTAAGTTCTGATGCCTTCGACTGCCGCGTTACAGGCCTGCAGCGCACGTTCTTTGAACAAGGTTCGAGAGCAAAGAGTGTGTAATCCGGACGGAGTGAGCTCGAAGTTGCATCCTGCTGATGGCGATTGGTTACAATGCCCTTTCGGGGATTGACTTTAGTGGTTCGGATTTGGGAGTTATTCCAAACGAGTTGTTGTGCTCCTACCACATTCAGGAGCATCAGGAACGTGGATGCGGCTCTGTGTTAGCGGAGCGTCGCACTTAGTCATGTATAGCTGATCACAATAAAGCCACTGTTCTTATGGTTGCTTCGTGGTGAAAGGGAAGTTCCAGAATATGGGAACGTATACCTACATATGTGTACGTAGAGTCGGCTACGAAGGTCTTAAAGGCCAGGAGCTGAAAGACAAAGTGGAATATCAATGCTGTTTCGGCAGGCAGCCAAGAATTCAATCTGCATGCGGCCTGTTATAAAATGCGACTGTGCTGTTCGACCAAATGCAGTGTCAAACTGTTGGAAAAATTCAAGTTTTCCTCATTAATAGAGATCTATAAACTTTTGACGCCGACTGTGCATGTCAAACTGAGCTCCCAGCTGACGTGTTTCTGGCTACCACTAGAAATCCACAAGCTGTCCGCTTAGGTATACATGTGCGTACGATGGAAGCAAAGAGAGAGGGGTTGACCGCTCCTCTAAAATACTCGAAGAAGGTGGGGAGGGGGCAGTAGCCTGCCCCTTGCGTTTGTCAAGTCATGCATGTCTTTTCCTTAACAATAATTACGGGGCCATGCCCCTGATTACGCATTTCAATAACTGTTTACTTCACGTATTTATATAGCTCAGGGAAGCCAGGGACAAAACGCTAGGTCACTAATAATGTTGAATAGGGAGAGTGGTTGCTGAAGGAATACTTGCCCCTCGTATTCAAAGACATTGCTACAGTAAGAGGCACGATTTTGGCTGCCCAATGCAGGCAGCGTGGCTCAGCATATATGAAGGATATGAAACTGTAATATAGCAGAAAGGTTGACTGTTGGCAATTCATGTGGTCCCAAATGAGTATCCGTTTGGCAGGGGTGGCCATACGTTGACATTTAGCGCACTCTTCGGCTTTCGTTGGCAGTTAGCCCACTATAACTGTAAAGGTCGCCTTGAAGTATTCTTCCGTGAGGGAGCTCTATCAATTATGACGCCCAGAAATTTGTGTGGTTGAATTACGGCTGATTACGCCGTAAATATTCATGCGTTTGCAAGTAAAAGTTACGTGAGCGCATCACGTATATACCGTGCATCAAAAAGTGGTTGATTGGCATCTGTCGTCTACTAAAGTTCCTCGCAGGGAAACGTCCCATGCTGCACCTGTATACTTTTTCTTGGTTTCCTGTGTTTCAGCTTACCTGCATTGACCACCGCAAGCAAAACAAGCCTGCGAACGTTACAAAGTGATCAGAGCCAGGCACTCCGGATTCGCCTCGGTTAGCCTCTATATAGTGCGTCGACGTCGGCTATATACTATGGCGATTGCTGGTAACCAGCTTGTCGCGACACAGATTGGCGTTGTAATATTCAGGACACATATAAGGCATCCTGATCGTACTTTTCGCCGCCACCTATCCTAATTACCAGACAACGCTCGTCTCGTTTGCCAAATGGCAACCACATATCGTGAATTTTCACCAACTTGCTCCATGATCGCCGTGAAACCTTCTCTCGTTGCGGCATATATATATAGGAACATCGGCTTAACAAATACCTGCCACCTGGAAATAAGCAGATATGTCGTTACCTGCTCTTAAGTAGCTCGCGCTGCACCCGTTATAAGAGGTGTGCCATAAACTCTTATACACCGACAGCTCCGTTTTGCCGTACAGCTTCACCGCAGCCTTTCTGACACCTAAAAGGGCTGCGCCTCGTACCTGATTAATTTTTTTGTGCACAAAAGTGCTCTGAAATTGACTATTTTCAGCGATTCCAAGGCGCCCCGCCGCGGTTGTCTAGTGGCTAAGGTACTCGGCTGCTGACCCGCAGGTCGCGGGTTCGGATCCCGGCTGCGGCGGCTGCATTTCTGATGGAGGCGGAAATGTTGTAGGCCCGTGTGCTCAGATTTGGGTGCACGTTAAAAACCCCAGGTGGTCGAAATTTTTGGAGCCCTCTACCACGGCGTCTCTAATAATCATATGGTGTTTGTGGGACGTTAAACCCCACATATCAATCAATCAATCAATCAGCGATTCCAAGGCGGCACAGCAATATTGTTACGGGGTGTTACCCAGCACCTCCACCAATATGTTACGGGTTGGGTGACTATACTGTACAAGATGCATTTACGGAGGAAAACCACAGGGAAGAGTCAAAATGGCTGATCGGCACACTCGCCCGCCTGTCAGCTGCTTCTGCCCTTCGTCTCTTTGACTTCATCTCCGTAACAATAACGGCATGGTGTTCGAGATTGCAGAAGAGACACACCATTCATGTGAGAAAGGACATGAACTAGATTTTCAGTGGCTTTCAAATCAATCAGTGATTGTCGGCAATGAACGGTTCAATCGAGCAGGCCATTCCACTGAAACAGAAAAATATTAAATGTTAATTGCGCTCTCTAGAACTGACACCCAGCGGAGGCTTTGTGCGCTATAGAGCACGCGAACGCACCGCGTCGGATTGGAACGAGCCACACTTCAAGCGCGCTCTATATATACCTGACTATCAGTCTTCAAATTCCTCCGGGACTTCGCTGATGTGGCAGTATACCCTACTGTAGAGGTTATGGTTGGGTGTCGCATTTATCCGTCTGTACACCTCCCCTTGCGATCACTGCGGCAGTGATGTAACAAACGAGCAAATTTTGTGTTAACGTTCACAATAACTGTTCGTTGAGATAGTCGCTTTGCAGTGCGTTTGGTCAAATGGACGACCAGACTATTGCGAAAGACAAAAAAAAAAAATCTATAGCCCCGCCACGGTAGTCTAGTAGCTAAGGTACTCCGCTGCTGACCCGCAGGTCGCGGGATCAAATCCCGGCTGTGGCGGCTGCATTTCCGATGGAGGCGGAAATGTTGTAGGCCCGTGTACTCAGATTTGGCTGCGCGTTAAAGAACCCCAGGTGGTCGAAATTTACGGAGCCCTCCACTACGGCGCCTCTCATAATCAAATGATGGTTTTGGGACGTTAAACCCCCCAAATCAATCAATAAAAAAAATCTATAGAAAGGACTTAACGTGAGAGAAGAGAAGGTCAAGCAGGTGCTCTGCGCACGCGTTTAACAGCAGTCTCCATGATTGGGACGTCGTGCATGTGTGTCCATCTGTGCATGCATTCTCTGAAGAATTCGCGGATCTGCGGCAGCCTTGTTTGTTTTTCTTCAATTCTCCCTTTCTGTCCTCCTTTGTCGTTCTTGTTCGCTTTTCCCTGCAGCGTTTTCTAAGTTTTTTACTCTTCATCTTTCTTCTTGCTATTCCCTCACCACCTTTCTTTTTCTCTCTCTATATTTCGTGCTTGCCTCCTCTTTCTAATTAAATTTTTGTGAGTTGGTTTCATTTAAAGTGTTCCACATTTAACATCATCATAAAGGCGCTTCGAAAACAAGTGCTAGAAGACGCCTCTTCGGCGCGTGCGCTTTTGTGTTAATCTGGTTTTGCCCGCCTTTTTACAAGCGATGGTGGTATACAGCATACGATCGCAGCATACGACAGCCCGGACACCTAAATTGATCTGCACTTAAAGAGAGATAATATATTGATTATTAGAGCTACCATAGAGCCTAGTATTGAGTGCCCCACAGGAACCACGAGTAGTCCCATATAGTGTCATGGTAGATCAAGGCACTTCTAGACGATCGACTGGACGACAAGAAGTTATTCAGCTGCAAATAAACTTGGTGCCGCTACACCATAGCATGTTACAGAGCTACACAAGCCACATTCAGAAAACCTCTCGAGCACTATATTCCAGCCACTACATGCCAAATATGCCAACCATCATTTGTGTTGAAGGACGTATCATGCTTGCGATAATGATGAAAAAAAAAAAAGCCAGTCAATGGAAAGGAGCACTCGCGAATATTCACTGCTGATATATGTCACCTCACAAATTAAAAACTAGACATTCATGTGATGTTCAAAATTGAACCATGTCGGGCCATGGCGCATATAAGTAACTAAGTTATCTGACAGCTCTCAAGAAAAACCGTTTATACGATAAGAAAATAAGAGCAATCTTTGAAACGTGTGCCAAGACTACACGAGTAGATAATAAAGGCAGGATGCGAAAAAAAATACAGGAAGGGAACACGTGTGCTGCCGTTGCAGATTAGAGCAAAAAATAAAAAAAAACTAAAATTTCTAAGAATAGTTTAAAGAGCAACCAGTATAAGTTACAAATCTGCTCGTGAGCATTTTCCTTTAAACCAACTGCTATTCGGACAATTCAAACACAATACCCCGTCCGCCCTTTTTGCCAGGAACAAGATCGCCGAAACCGCAGGTGCATCGCACGCGCGCCCCCACTCGTGGTGCACAGGAGGCACGCGCGGCAGCGATGATGAGGCGGGCGACAAAAGCGCCGCTCAAACACACGAGGAGCCGGCAGCAGCAGTAGCAGCAGAAGCGAGCGCGTTCCGCGACCTCTCAACTCGGGAGAGGCGACCCAGGGTCCCGGGTCGCACAGGTTTCCGCACCTCTCACCCGCGTCTCTGGCGCCTCTTCCCGCGCCCTCCCAGCGCCTCAGCGACGAGGCTGCACGTTGCCCGACAGCCACGCGCGCTGCTGCTGAGGCGGCGGCGCGCCGGCGGGGGGGAGTCCGGGGAAGGCGGGACCTGTGCGCATGCGCAGCGGCCCGTCGGGTGGCCTCGGCAGCCAATGAGCGGCGGGGTCCCGCCCGTGCCCCGAGAGATCCCGCCAGGGCACGACCGCGGCACGGGGGGGCGCCGCGCAGAGACGCACTAATCGGCCCCGTGAACCATGGCCGGCCGGAGGTGGCCTCCCGGCTCCTGCTGCTGCTGCTGTCGCCGTAGCAGCCCCCCGTGCGCGTAGCGGGCGCGTGCGTTGGGCGCGACGCCACACCATGGCGCTCGCCATGACGCCCTGGAGAGACTCCGTCGACCCGGCCGACCTGGTGATCGGCCTGCCGCCGCCGCTGCCCCCCGGTACACCGCACTCCTCGTCGTCTTCGGACAAGAACGGACAGCACGCGAACATCGAGTGCGTCGTGTGTGGCGACAAGAGTTCTGGCAAGCACTACGGCCAGTTCACCTGTGAGGGATGCAAGTCGTTCTTCAAACGCAGCGTGCGCCGCAACCTGACGTACACGTGTCGCGGAAACCGAAACTGCCCCATCGACCAACACCACCGGAACCAGTGCCAATACTGCCGCCTCAAAAAGTGTCTCAAAATGGGCATGCGTCGAGAGGGTACGTGTCTGATGCATCGCGGGGTCCTTTTTTTTTGCCCGCAACTCCTACCCCCCGTACCCGAAATCGTCGTCATCGATGTTCGTCGTTGTGATGCCTCCCTCCCCACCCGTTCACTTGCTCGGATGTTGCATACCTCCCTCCTTGCCTCCCCCTTCCTTCAACCCCCCCCCCCCCCCTCAACCCAGTGTCGTGTGCATATTGTTGCCCCGTGCCCTCGCTGGGGGGTCGCCGCCCCTGCCTGCACCGGTGTGATCTGCGATGCAGTTCTTCTGTTTCGTTTTTTCTGTTCGATGTTTGTGTGCCTTGTGCTGTTCCACGGCGCGTTTGACGACACGTGATTGCGGGCCCGGCCACTGTGAAAGGTAGGGTGTATTTTTGCCACATTAACGAATCGATCCTCTAAAGACCATTTTAACCTCACCGAGAGTGTGTTTTAACCTTGAAGCGATTGACGGACGCAGTTTTCTTTTTTTCTTCGGTCTGACTCGTCGAGCTAGCTCGTCTGTGCCCGACCACGCGGTGCTGTTGCATAGCGCTTGGCCTTGCGCGGTCTCGGTTTTCTCGTTCGCGCGGCTCAAGGTCACGTCGACAGCGTGCTTGTCGTCAACTGCTTCAGGAACTTACCCTGCCGCTAAGAAGCGCGTGAGTACAGCAGGATCTTCGCGGCAATCGCATGCGCACGGAACGAATGATCACGCCTGCGCGCGCGTGGGACATCGTGCACTCTCCCACGGAAGGCTCTGCGATGTGCCGTAAAAGCTCGGAGTGCTGCCGACTCCTTTGACACCGTTCGTTTTCACTACAACCGCCAGCCTGCCGCATCTGGCAACTTTCCAATGCAATGTCGTCGTGCTTCGGAGCCAGTTTTGGCTCTGCGCTGTCTCTTTCGCGATGTGTATTCATATCTGCTTTATTTTGTTTCCGCAGCAGCTTCATGGTCAATATCCTCTATATTATAATAAAATCACATTTATTGGGCTGCAGTTGCAGGTGAGAGTTGGGGAGGTTGTCCAACGTACCGGTCAAAAAAAAAAAAAAAAACGGATGCACACGCAGAGAATCGACTATCGTCAGTGCCATAGAGTTGTGAAATTAGAATTCGCTCCCATACAATTCGGTCGCGCGCGCAATGCGAATTAATGAAAAGCGCGCAATAATATTATTAACTTGTTTTCTGTTCACTAGCAAGGAATACTATTAGGCAGCATTTATGAATCTAGGAACAAATTTCCATATTTTGGTGGATAATATAAAGAGTGTTTTCATTTCGTTCCGATCGCCTAAGGCGTATTCACTTCGTTCTAGCACTGAACACAATCGCCGAAAACAACAAAATGCAATGTCAGTTTATGCACGTGTCCACTGCACACGGAGCGGAAGGCGTTGCCAACACAACCTTCGTAAATAGGCCGAATGAATGCATTAGTGTGCCTCCTATACACCACTGCATGCGTGTCTATGTCTAATTTATGGTTTGAACCGAATGCGGCGCAGCTATGGGTCGCGAGTAAGAGGGTATAAGCAAAGTACATGTCACTTGATGTGCGAATCTATTTACGTTGACCACCACGTGGCATTTCTTGTGAAAGTGTTCATTCAAAAACTGTATATGTTCAATGGGAACCGAAGTAAGTCAAAACACTGGAAACGTGTTTAGGAATAAACTTTGTGCGATGCACTGTTAAATCGCTTTGAGAAGGGTCCATACATATAAATGCGGGATCGTTAGCCACTGCTCCAAACCTCGTACTTACTTTAGCACTTACATCACCGCTGACCGGAGGCATTCGAGAGGAAACGCATACCTTAGACACATCAATGCATTAAAATGGTTGCCTATTCACCTACGCTTACAGCTTAGCTGATATCTCCTCCCTATATAGCGCTCGGCGTGCTATACAAACGAGTGCATCCGCACAGTTGAACACTTGAAACACCAAAGGAACACCACCTCCAAGTTCCTTTCTTCCAGCCACGGAGCCCCCCCATCTCTCTCTTCACTCTTTAGCCGTATATCAACGAGTTGCGGGAAAGACTTCGCTAAATACCCACTCGGGCTGTTTTTTCTATGCGACCTTGTTCCCTTTATGGCTCTTCACTTCTCTGTCCGTCTCTTCGCTGTCGAGTGAAATGCGCGCCGCGGGGTTCCTAATCCTCTTGTCACATCCTCCCCACCCAATTTTCATACTTCTCATTTTTCTTACGTTTTCATTTCTCTCTCTCTCTAATTCTCGGGGTCGATTATGGCGCGCCGTCGCAGTATATTGCCGCGCTTTATTCACGCGGCTCCGTCTTAGCGCCGCCTCGCGCGGGGTACACCTGTGGAATGATTACGGCCATCCATATCGTTCGCGTTTGCATGTCGCTCCGCGGAGGCTATGCGCGGCGAGGACGGCCTTCACTTTGCCCGTGCGACCGAATGCCGCTTTCTTTCTTTCTTTTTTTTTTTGTGGGAATAGAATCTCCGTGCATATACATATTCATCGATTCAGAGAAGCAATCGTAAAGGAATCCGAAACGACAAAAAAAAAATCAAAAATGTGGCACGGCTTCAAAAAGAAAGAAAGAGACAGGGAAACGCGAAGTTGCCTGGTCCTCTCGGTGCTGACAGGCGAGTAATATTGAGAGTGCTTGCTCGTCATTCCCTTTCATAGCGCACGCAGCAGGCGAATCGTGGTACGCCGAGTAAAGAAGGACAAATGCGCGGGAAGTGCGTTTTCTAGGCCTCGTTACGGTGCACGTCAAATGCGAGTACAGATTCGGAAATGTACAAGTAAATAAATAGAAAATACACAGCGGTGTGGAAGCGCATTTGAGTGAATGCTCACTTGTCTGATACAGTTAAAACATCAAAAAAATAGCGAGTATATTTTAAATTAGAAGGTCAAGACTGTTATTTAAAGGCAAATTCTTCAGTGTCTTCAATTGTGTATATACATACAGATATTGCTGCATTTAATATGTGTTCACCAACCAACCGAAACCGCTCAGTCGCAGGGGCGACTGCGTGACTCTTTTCCTTTTGTTTCTGTTTGCAAGTATGACTATCATAATCAATATTCGTACCACTCTTGCAAATTCTTTTATCACTTATTATCTGACCACATGTTTGCCGGTTGTTTCATGACAGTCCGCTGTGCGTGAAATCTTCCAAATATTGATTGATTGAATGATATGTGGGGTTTAACGCCCCAAAACCACCATATCATTATGAGAGACGTCGTAGTGGAGGGTTCCGGAAATTGCGACCACCTGGGGTTCTTTAATTAACGTGCACCCAAATCTAAGCACACGGGACTAAAGCATGTTCGCCTCCACCGAAAATGCAGCCGCCGCAGCTGGAATTCAATCCCGCAACCTGCGGGTCAGCATTGATTGATTGATTTGTGGGGTTTGACGTCCCAAAACTACCATTTGATTATGAGAGACGCCGTAGTGGAGGGCTCCGGAAATTTTGACCACCTGAGGTTCTTTAACGTGCACCCAATAATGAGCACACGGGCCTACAACATTTCCGCCTCCATCGGAAATGCAACCGCCGCAGCCGGGAATCGAACCCGTGACCTGCGGGTCAGCAGCCGAGTACCTTAAACACTAGACCACCGCGGCAAGGCAATTTTTAAAGACGTCACTGACGTATGTAGTGTTATTTTGATGTTTAGCTGCAGACTACGGTTATCGTGTGTTGTTTTCTGGTGTTCCTGCTAAATGGGAAATCCGTTCTCACGTTTCTCGAACTCCACAAGACATTCTATTTGGCAGGACCAGATTTGCTTGGCTGCCCGGGTTTTCTTTGCATGCGATTCCTGCCGCCGAAGTTGCACTTTCAGGCTCTAAAAATTCTACTTTGGGTTAGCGTTATCTGCTCAGTTAGGGGCAGGGGATGCAGTGTACCAGGTTGAAGGGTAATTTATTTGCGACTGCATACGCGACAAGTACAAGTATACCAGACAGATTAATAAGCATACGATGAGCACCATTGCTGCGATGGCCAAGTGAATTAAGGATAACTTATACAATGCTCTCAAACGTTAACGTTGTTTAGTCAGTAGGGAGATTTAGAATAGCGTTAGCAGACGTTGCGGGCGCCATACGAGTTTCAGAATAGCGTTTGCCCCCCACCCCTCCTTCCCGCAAACACAAATGCACGATGGCAGCTACACCGTAGCCTCGACAACAGCAAATTGCGGTCTGCACGCTGTGTCTAATTTTTCGGCGGGCAAGCGCGAACGGCAGGTCCAGTTATGACGCATGCACAGTAGCAGCGACCGCACCGCAAGTGCTTTCAGTACGCTATTCTGAAACTCTTATACGTTGAACAACTGATTATGCGTTGAACAAGAAAGTGCTGCTTGATTGTGTGGGGCGAAGCATCTTTAGAACGCACAACATACCCCTCCGTCCATAAACCGTCGCCCGGCGCCTATATACAAGAGGTGTAGAAGCCGAAACTTCTGTTGAATGATTGATATGTGGGGTTTAACGTCCCAAAACCACCATATGATTATGAGATACGCTGTAGTGAAGGGCTCCGGAAATTTCGACCTCCTGGGGTTCTTTAACGTAACCGGAACTTCTGTGAACAATAAAAATGTTACCAAAGGCTGTTAACCTTGAGTGACAAAATAAGAGGCCACAACACCGACAAAACTCGGACATTTAACCACCCATCAATCAAAGCATATGATAGAACAAAATATTGACTATAACAAAATAGAAGGCTGTTAGCTCGAACAAAATAGAAGGCCACGATTCAACATCTGATGCGCACTGCTTCGCCCCATCACCAGCATTTACTTCGTTACTATGCGTGACTTTTCGTTGTTGATGATGATGTAAATTAGAAGGCGGGTTTACTTTGTCGGCATATTTCGCGAGATATGCGGGCAAAGGAAGCGCCGTCATTGTCTAAGGAACGATTTTTTTTGTTTTGTTTTTCATCCGAAGGGAGTCACACTGTGCGTTGAACTGAGTACTTTCCTCCTCTTTCTCTATCT